CTCTGCAATTAGGCTCAAAGCACTCCGATTGGTGGGTTTAAGCCATCCAATCAGAGTGCACTGACAGGTAAATGAAGAGACAGTTAAGTCTCTACATTTACCTGTTACAGCACTCTGATTGGTTACTTAATCCACCAGAGTGCTCTGTGTCATTTTACACAGCATGGGAAAAATTCTGAAGAACTTTCCCACGCTGTGTAAAATGATACAGAGCACTCTGATTGGCGGATTTCAAGCCAACCAATCAGAGTGCTGTGACAGGTAAATGTAGAGACTTACCTGTCAGAGCACTCTGATTGGATGGCTTAAACCAATCAGAGTGCTTTGAGCCTAATTGAAGGGTGGGGCAAGGCTTTATAAGCCTTCCCCCGCCCTGCAGAGCTCAGTCTGCGCAGAGCCCTCCATGGGTGAAGAAGGATTTTTTTTTTTTTTTTTTTTTTTTAAGTGCGTCGGTTATTCTGGATTTTTATTTGGCCTTTTTTTGAGGCTGAAAAAAAGATTTTAGAAGAAAGAAAACATCAAATAATTTTTTTTAATTTTTTTTAATTTTTTTTACAGGTACTTAGCTAATGGTGTCCCCCCCCCTCATTATTTTTAGGGTGAGGGGGGTAGGTATGGGTAATTTTTTTGGGGGGAGGGGGCATTTTTATTTATGGCTCCCACCCACCGCTCAGAGGTGGGGGCTGTGGGGGAGGACAATAGGTTATTGTTATTTAGGGCCCCCACCCACCACGCAGGGGTGGGGACCGGGGGAAGGACAGTAGGTCCCCCCTATTGTAATTTAGGGCCCCCACCTGCCGCCCAGGGGTGGGGCCGAGGGGGGCAATAGGTCCCCCCTTTAGTTTAAAAGCCCCCACTCACGCGTCATGGGTGGGGGCTCAGGAGGGGGGAATTATTTAATTTATTTTTAACAGTGAGCAGTCACAGGCTGCTCAATGTTTAATAGACATGCCCCTACTAGCTGGGTCACACGGTGCACTGGCCAATCACAGCCATGCCTTTAGTAGGCATGGCTGTGATGGCTTCTAAGGGCACATGAGTCAAACGCTTGTTGATTGGCTGCCCTGCAGCCTTTCAAAACGCGTCATTAAATCGCTGAACACCGAACTCCAACCCGAACATACAGTGATATGTCCGTGTTGGGGTCCGGGGGCCAAAAAAACGTAATGTTCGGTACGAACCCGAAGTTTTCAGTTCGGGTTCGCTCAACTCTAGTAATAATATCCTTAGGATGTAAAGAATACAAAATTGAAGGCAACAAAAATGTTAAAATGACACGCACAAAAGATGGAACCACCGCATCCTTTTCAGACCTAGTCTACCTAAAGTTGTCTTCGATCCAGCTTTTTTTCATTACAGTGTATAGAGAATCACGGGCTTTTCAGCCCTTAAGTCAAGGAAGTGATTGCACAAAAAGTTAAAGGTAAATGTTATCATGCTTAATGATTTTTTCCTGTAATGGCACACTTTAAATGAGTGAAACAAAAACAGATTTTAATTTAACGAACTGCATCTTTTGTAGTAATAGTATTATCTGTCTGTTACTTTTTGCTGTACTTATTATTTGCTAGAATTGATCTTGCAAAATGCTGTTAAGGGTGTATCGGCTGCTTCGTGTTTTGAGGAGAGGGTGAGAGGGTCAGCAGCCTGCAGATTATATGGGGTTGTTTGCAATATATCGCAACAGACCAAAAAAAAGAACATTTGGAACACTATGGCAGTCACTAGCGTGACATATCTTAACATGAGAATACTCTTGTTCTGGGTTATGGACACGAAGACTCTTCCAGCACTATTTAGAGTGTCCATCATAGTCTTGGCGGTGGCTGTGCCTAGTACTACTGTGAATCAATGTTTTCAGCCATGGAGGCATCATACTACGTTCCCATTGTGCATAAATGTCTGACAGAATGTGGGACAATTTAATTTTTTGCAATAATGTCAAAGAAAAGAAAACTCACTTTCACAGATTAAAACATTGATTCTCTCACTCATGTTTGCTCTTTGTCAAAGTATGGCAGCACAGCATTTTCAATTACTTGAGTTCTTGGCAGTTGTGTTATTTCTTTAATAACTTTGTTACTCTCATTTACTAATAAATAAGTTTTTTTCACGGTTTGTCGTTACTAAGTGTATGTCACAATTTAAAATTTTGAATCTCTCATGAAAGGCAACTGGAAAAAGAAACATATTTTAAATGCCTTCCTGAGTAATTTATACTCTGGAACTACATTATGCAAAGAGCCCTAATGAGTTCTATGAGTTGTTAAACCAGTAGCGGAACTAATGTAGAGAGGGTCTTAGAGCAAGAAAGATTTTTGGGCCCCCCCACAAGTGCGATAGTGGCCAAAAGGTAAATCCCCATCTGTCATACAACTCCAAAGATACTATACCAGATAAGGATCTACCATTTGCCCATCCTTGCAATGTTGTATTTGTGAGCAGTGTTCATGCATATGAATGTAAGCATGGGGGTTTCCGGCAGAATGGATAACGGAGATGACGCATGTGGCTGATGCAGGCATGTAGACACTGCATGTAGCAATCCAACCGTATCGGCAAACAAGCCAGCAAAGCTACAAGATGCCCGGTATTTTTCCAAGCCTTACAAGCTAGCAGCAGCCAGAGCTATCTGAGGTGTTCAGTGTAACGGAGTCTTACAAGCTGCCTGAACTTCTGCTCGAGCTCATGCCACAGCCCGACAGCCTGACAGCTCACAGCCACAGCCTGACTACTCAAGGTAAAAGAGTAGACAGAGCTATCCCAGAATCACCTTAAGGAGTGTAATGGAGAGGGGAGCAGGAGCAGGAGTCTGTCATATAGCAGTGCTTCATTTAAGGCAAAGTTAAGGCTCCAAAAGCACCCTAAGTAAGGCAATAATCAAAGCAAGCAGCAAAAAAAAATGTTTCTGTCTTAAAATGCTTTAATGGGATACCAAATGATCTAAAGTGGCCCAAAGGTGAAATAAGTGATTCAGAGTGAAACAAAGTATATAAAGTGAACTAAAGCGGCACAGAGTACACGATACTACAACTACAATGTGATACAGAGTGATACAAAGAGAGGCAAAGAGACACAGAGCATACAAGTGATACAAATTGATCTAAAGAGATACAAAGTATTTCAAATTGCCTCTAAGCAAACTCAAAGAGTTTTAAAGCGACAGGAAGGATTTAAGAGCTCTAAAGTGTTATATATTAGGCTGCAAGTGCTTTAAATGGTTAATAAGAGCTTCTGAATGCTGCAAGGCATTGCAAAGTATTGTAAATTGCTTCAAATTGTTTTAAGCCTTTAGGAAAGATCTAAAGTAAATAAATAAGGGATTTAAAAGGTGATCCGAAGCAATGATAAAGTGATATAAAGGAGACAGAGCAACATAAAATAATTTTAAAAAACCAAAGCGCTCTGAAGTGTTGTGAAGAGATTGAGGAGAGGAAAGGAGTGAACAGTGAATTAAATTTACTAGATTAAAACTACATATTATATTGAAGCAGTACAAGACATCAAGGAATTAAAAGAAAGAAAAGGGGAAGAGTAAAAAAAAAAGGGAAAGAAAAAAAGGGAAAAAAAAAGAGAAGAAAGGAAAAGAACAAGAACAAGAAAAGAGAAGAAAGAGAAAAAAGAGAAAGAAGGGAAATGAAGAGAAAAGAAAGGCAAATACATTTTTCCCCTTTATTAGCACCTCAACACTATATCAACTCATAAAATGTAATATAGTTTTTCAGCACTACCTACACGGCCACCAGATGGCGCCGCCGAAGGCACAGAGACAACATGAGTTCTTTAAAACAAATAAGAAAGACAGAGGAAGAACAGAGCGGGGTGCTGGAAGCAGTACGAGATCTCCCTCATATCACTCTGAAGCAGGCTCTGATACGGATTCTACACAAATCTTAGGAGAAAATGCAGAAGATCTCTCCCTGTGAGAATAAAGATTGGCAGACATGCTCTCCACCCTGAGAACATCATTACAGCTAGATTTTAGAAAAATATCGGACATCTGCCCTGGAAGAAAAAAATGGATGGGATCTGCAAGAACAACAACAAAATGAGGGAAAAACTTAACAAAATGGAAGAAGACTATCAAAAACTCCAGGGAAAAATTGCGGATATAGAGGATAGGTCTAGACGCAATGATATCCGCGTTAGGGGTGTGCCCAAAACAGTTCAGGGGGCAGATATATCACCTTACTTAGTTGAGTTGTTCAAGGCAATAGCTCCCATTCTCACTACAGAAGACTTGCGGTTTGATAAATCACATAGGGTGTCAAAGCCTAAAATTTTATCTACTGAGGTTCCCAGAGATATTATGGTGAGGCTACATTACTAAAGTACAAAAGAGATGATCCTATCCACCCAAAGAAGGCCTACAACAATGCCATCAGCATACTCGCATATTTCACTGTTTGTGAATTTATATGCTATGACTATAGCTAGAATAAGAGATTTTGAAAGAGTTACTAAATATTTAAGAGATAACAACGTGAATTATAGATGGGGATTCCCAACTAAATTGCTGATTTGGAGAAACGGATTGATGCCGAAGATAGAAGACCCTGAAGAAGGATTACAAATACTACATAAATGGGGTCTAATAGGAACTCCGTCAGAAAAGGTGGACAGTTCACATGTGAGAGAAATGCTACCAGAATGGACGACAGTACTTAAGGGAAAATAGCTGCTCATATGAAGCAAAGAATAGAAGTGGAGACAGCTTATTCATTTACGGTTGAACTGAAAAATATATATAAAGGATTGAACTTAAATTGAGTCAAAACATTCTAAAGCTGGTGTCCGGTCTTGATGAAAAATTTTATAAAATGTAAAATGGTGGCAAGGGAAGGCATTAGATGGTCGGATGATAAAAAGGAGGGTAGGAGTTAGAGAGACTTCATTGTATTATACTTAATGATTTACTCTTTCAAAGCTGGGGGGTGGAGGGAGGGGTGTTGGAGAGGAGGGGATATATATATTATTTTTTAGTTTTTTTGTGTATGTTTCCTCTCTTGGTCTTCATCTTCCTCCTCCTTCCCTCTACCTCCCCCGATTCCTCTGATTGCTCAGATTCCTCTGATTCCATCCCAAGGAGAGGAGGGGAAAAGAATTTAAAGGAAAGGAAAAATTATTATTTTTTGTAACTATGCTACAGTTTTAAAAACCAGGCAGTGGCATATAAATATATAAGCAGGATACGGCTTGTCTCCCGCATTTTCATTTTCAATCACCCCCTCAAAAAAAAAAAAAAACTCCTCAAATCTATAGGAGAAATAGAGAAACAATATAAACAAACTCTAAATAATAGTCTACAAAATAAACTTAAGCTTAAAAAAAAACAACAACTCAAAAATTTAGAATTAAAGGAAACAGAACGTAATTTGAGAAAATAAAAATGTAAATATTATACACAGAGTAATAAAGAGGTCAAATTATTGGCGTCTCAAATTAAACAGAAGTCAACACAATCAAAAATTCCATACTTGCTAAACCCAAAAGGTGCAAAATTGATAGATCCAAATCAAATTGTTAATGAGTTATTATATTATGAATATTTATATAATTTAAGGGAGAATTCAAATACAAACCAACCCACATTAAATATGATTTCCACTTTCCTAAGAGATGTTGAACTACCCTGCGTGACTCGGGAAGAGGCGGAGATCTTGAACAAACCTTTTACGGAGGAGGAGGTCTGGGAAGCTATAAAAACAACTTCAAAACATAAAGCACCAGGCCCAGATGGGTTTTCTAATTATCATTTTAAATTTGCAAAGGAATTGATCCCAAATCTAACAATACTTTTTAGCAGCATTTTAGATTCAGGTGAGGTACACCCGGAAATGCTGGAAGCTATAATACTACCAAAACCAGGAATGCCACCGACTAGCTGTGTCAATCTAAAACCTATATCTCTGCTTAATGTAGACGTAAAATTGTTTGCAAAAGTAATGGCACTAAGACTGAAACCACTACTGCCCAAATTGATAGGGGCAGAACAAGCAGGCTTTGTGCCAGGTAGACAGGTGGGGGATAATACCTGTAGATTTATAGATATACTGGAAATAATGAAAAGACAGAAAACGGAGGGATTATTGTTGGCACTTGACATGGAAAAGGCATTTGATCGCCTACATTGGCAATGCATGGAGAAGGTGCTAGATAAAATTTCAACTCCCAAACAAATTTAAACAAGGTCTCATTTTACAGAAACCCAACAGTTGAGTTATCAATTCAGGTTTTGTGTCTCGTAAATTGCGCCTATCTAATGGAACAAGACAGGGCTGTCCCCTCTCGCCATTGATTTTTATTATGACCCTTGAACCCCTAGTATATAAGATAAATAAAAAAGTTCAAATAACGGGGCTAAATACTCACATAGGACCTCAAAATTGGCCTTATTTGCAGACGATGTCCTGATAATACTAACAAATCCAGACAAAACAATAATGCCGCTGATGGATTTATTGAAGGAATATGGCACAGTGTTGTATTATAAAAATAATATTATTAAAACCCAAGCCTTACCTATTAATATGCAAGAGCCAACTATTCGAAAGCTGAAAGATGAATACCCATTCGAATCGAGAAATATATGTATAAAATATCTTGGTATTCATCTTTCAGTTTCGAAACAGGAAATGATAAAAGAATGTACAAGATACACTAAAACACTGGGACAAGAGCACAAGATCATGGGCGGGACGGATCAATTCTGTTAAAATGTGCATAGTACCACAGATTTCATTTCTTTTTAGATCCATACCAATAATGATTCCTAAATCAATTATAACAAATTTTCAGAAAACAATAAATGCTCATATTTAGAAACGCAAACCCCCAAGAATATCACTGAAGACAATGAGCTGCAAAATGACAGAGGGTGGAATGGGA